GAGGTAGATTTAGGAGTAGTCAGATATCTCTGCCTCACTTTCTCTAATCATGGGAGAAATACTTACTCCCACATCCTGCCCCACTCTGCTGGCTGAGTCTCATTCCCAAAGCATATTTCTTTGCAGTATCCTTCCTGTGGTTTTTGGCTTCGCCTGAGTTTAACATCATTAATGTAAGGCCCTGGGGGGACACCTGAGGTTTATAAATTATACAGTGTTTTGTCTGTGGTAATGCCACGCCAGGCAATAATAAGATTTGACATTTAGATATCACCTTCCAAATAACAGCTCAGGGAACATTTCCCAAACACAGATCATAGAATGTTAGGGCTGGGAGGGGCCCTAGTACATAGAATGTCAGAGCTGGGAAGGGCCTTAGAACACAGAATGTCAGAGCTGGGAAGGACCTTAGAACACAGAAAGTCAGAGCCGGGAGGGGTCTTAGAACACAGGATGTCAGAGCTGGGAAGGACCTTAGAACACAGAAAGTCAGAGCTGGGAGGGGCCTTAGAACTCAGGATGTCAGAGCTGGGAAGGACCTTAGAACATAGCAAGTCAGAACTGGGAGGGGACTTAGAACACAAAATGTCAGAATTGGGAGGGCCTTTAGAACACAAAATGTCAGAGCTGAGAAGGAGCTCAGAAAAGAGACCATCAGAATGGGAAGGAACCTTAGAACATGGAATGTTATGTACCTTAGAGATTATCCAACCCAACTCCATCTCACTGTAAAAACCTCAAAGGAAGAGGCAAAGGGGGAAGGGGGATGACATTATATTTAGATGTTTTGAAATCCCTAGGAATACAATCAATATCCTTCATCTCCAGAGAAGCATTGCTTCTAAGTCACCATCACTAGAACATGAGCTTTGAGGTTTTTTGTCTTCAGTAGTGGAAATAAGCAGTACAGTCATCCATGTTCCCTATTGTCCAGAGGTCAGTCAACCGTATTAATTAAGTGTTTACTCTGTGTGCCAGGCACTGAGCTAAATGCTGGGAATACAGATACAAGCACAAAGAGAGACAGTTCCTTGCCCTCAAGGAGCTTACACTCTAATGGGAAAAGACAATCCATAAAATGAAGCTGAAAAGGGGAGCCAAGGGTGGAGAAAGTAGGGGAGTTGAGCCCATCAGGGGCCTAGTAGAGAAAATACCATGAAGATGAGTCAACCAGATTGGGCTGGAGAGAGATGAAGGCATCTGTGTGGCCCGGACTACCTCTTGGAGGAGAATTCAGAAGCAGCTGATACGGTGACTAGGAAGGAATGCGGTATGTGTGTGTGTGTGTGTGAGAGAGAGAGAGAGAGAGAGAGAGAGAGAGAGAGAGAGAGAGAGAGACAAGAGAGAGAGAGACAGGGAGAGAGAGGAAGAGACAGAGAGAAAGGGAGAGAGAGAGAGAGAGAGAGGGAGAGAGAGAGAGAGAGAGAGAGTGGCAGACAGACAGACAGACAGACAGAGAGGCAGAGGAGGCTCTGGGAGGAACCAGCCAATCAGAGGCAGAGGTCACAGGGATGGAGAAGACTTCAGTGTCAGAAGGGCTGCAGTGAGCTTCCAGGGGAAGAGGTTTCTCTGGCGCAGCAGAGAAAGTTCTATGGAGATGAGACCGCAGGACAGCCAGACCATCCCCAGCTACACATCTGCTGCTTCTACACCCATGCATGAGACAGCAGACCAGGCCTGGGGTCTGCTCTATCTCCAGTGAACAAGGATCCCATCACCTAATGCTGACAGGTCCTCGGCACCTTTCACCTGGGCTGAAGCTAGAGCTGCCCCATGGATCTCCGCCTCTTTCATCCATCCTCAGCTGCCCAAGGCACTTTCTTAAAGCGTGATCCAGACCATGTCAAGTCCCCATTCAGCAAACTCTGGTGATTCATTCTCTATCAGCTCTAGGACTGAACCTTCACTCTCTTTTTGGCATTTAAAACCTTTCATAATCTGACCCCAACCTACCTTTTCAGCTTTGATATATGTACATATGTGTGTATATATATACATGTATATATGTATATACATATATGTGTATATGTGTATGTGTATATGTATACATGTGTGTACATATATGTGTATGTGTATATATTTATATTTCTTCCCTTCACCACTCTACTATGCTGTAGAATAATTTATCATTGTCATTATAGTTAACATTTATGTAACTAAGATTTGTAAAATACTTTTAAATACTCTCTCAGTGGATCCTCACAGCAGCCCAAGTAGGTACGTACTATTATCCCCATTTTATAGTTGAGGAACGTGAGGCAAGCAGAGGTTAAGTGACTTGCCCAGCATCACACCGCTGGTGAGTCTGAGGCTAAATTTGAACTCGTCTTCCAGGTCCAGCACTCTCTGCGCTATGGCGCCACCCAGCTGCCTACAATACATTCTCTCCTTACCTCTGCCTCTTAAAATCCCTTGTTTGCTTCACAATTCAACTCAGGCATCATCTTCTATTTGAAACCTTTCGTGATCCCCCTCAGTTACCTATGCCTCAGCTAGGTGGTACCACAGTGGGGAGAGGACTGGGCCTGGGGTCAAGACAACCTGAATTCAAATTTGACTTACTAGCTGCCTGACCCAGGGCATGTCACTTAACCTATGTCTGCCTCAGTTTCCTCAACTATAAAATGGAAATAATAGCACCCACCTCCGAGGTTTGTTATGAAGATCAAATGAGCTAATATTTGTAAAGCACTTAGTGCAGTGCCTGACACATAGTAGGCCCTTAAATGCTTCTTCTGTTCTACTAATTACCTCATATTTATTAGGTATGTGTGCAGAATGTAAGCTCCTTGAGGGTAGGGGTTGTCTTTTTTTTGTATATTTGTATCTCCAGTTTAGTAGACACTTTAAATGTTTGTTGATTGACTAACTGACTTTATAGTTGCTTGTTGACTATTTGATTAAATGGCTCACACAGAGGTGGTAGCTTTGGCCTTGGCCTTGGCCCAGTGAGCCCCAGGAGCTCTAACCTGGGGGATTTTGTGTGTGTAGTGATCTCTTCCATTCTCGCCTACTAAGAGGAGAAGAATAAATATTGTTTGAACTGAATTGGAATAAATGACATGAAGCAGCTGTTGAGTTCAAATTGGAATTAAATTTAATTGAAAGAGGGAGGGGGTGGGGGAGGGGCAGCTAGGTGGCGCACCAGCCCTGGAGTCAGGAGGACCTGAGTTCAAATCCAGTCACAGACACTTACTAGCTGTGTGACCCTGGGAAAGTCACTTAACCCCAATTGCCTCGCAAAAAAAGAAAGTGAGGGAAGAGGGAGGGGTGAACCTGGGAGAGTGAGATGTAGGGGTTCACTGGGCCTTCTCTCTTGCAGATCTGGATGAGAACACTGTGTCTGGCAGCCCACCTCCCAACGTCAGAACTGAGAGAACCAGCCTTCGGGACCGTGAGTGCATGGCCCCCTCCATCTATTTGTCTGCCCTTCCACCATCCTATGGTCCCCTCTGACCAGGTCACAGGGGTGCGCACTTGAGGACCTAGAGGGCCACATGCGGCCTTGAGGCCGCAGGCTCCCCACCCCTGGAGTAGGACCACACTTCCCTTGTCTGGGGTCCAAGTGTGAGACCGGAGTCCAGGGTTTCTTCTGCTCTCCTCCTGCCTCCCCCAGGGGACGGCAGAATGCTTGGGCCACCCTATTTACTCCCGCCATTAAAAAACTTGACTTCTCCTCTCACCCTTTTGCTCTGTGACCTTAGATAAGTCATTGCTTTCTCCGAACCTCATTTTCTGGAAGGCCACCTCATCTGGCAGTCTTAGAGAACTTGGATTTGAACGCTCGCCCTGCCCTTCACTAGCTAAATGTCCTTGGGCGAATCCTCCAACCTCGATGGCCTCAGTTTCCTCATCCGTAAAGTAAAGGAGCTGGGCGACATGATCCCTGTCAGCTCAGAATCTATAGCCCTAACAGTGGCCAATGGCAGAGCCCTGAAGTGCCAGAGGAAGGTGAGGGAGTGGCATGAGGGCCCGGGAGGGCAGGCTCCCAGGTCCGGTGCTTAACATTGGGCCAGAGTGCTTTTTTATAACACAGGGCCTCGGTGGGCAGCTGAGGGCGTCCAGATGGCCTGTGTAAGGGGCAGCGTGTTCTGCTCCGCTGTGGGCAGCTAAAGGCCTCAAAGTTTCCTTTGGACAATGAAAAACCACAGTGTGATTTGGGTCAAAGATTGTAACAAATAGCTTTCCCTCCATCCATCCCTGACCCGGAGGCCTTCAGAGCCCCTGGAGGAAGCAGAGGACAAGGAGGAAAGGTTAAAATGGGACCTTTCCCTCTCCTCAACACTCACCCTGAAAAAGCTGAAGTAAGAATATGGCAAGATTCCAGTATAACAAGGACAGCCCTGTGCTGTACCTGGAAGGCATCTTAATGCTGCTCTCCCATAGGTTCTGCCACCTACTCACAGTGATTAGACAGGTTGCTTTCCCTTCCCGGGCCTCAGTTTACTTATCTGGAAAATGGAAAGAATACCAGCCCTATGGACCCAAGGAGAATTTACTTAGAAAAGGGGCAGGATGTGTGACCTGGGCAGGTCACTTAACCCCAATTGCCTCGCAAAAAAAAAAAAAGAAAGAAAGAAAAAAGAAAAGGGGTGGGAAAATGATGGACAAGTCGGTAGACTTGTTGTTCAGTTGTTTCATCTGTGTCTGACTCTGCTTGATCCTGTTTGGGGTTTTCTTGGCAGAGATACTGGAGTGGTTTGCCATTCCCTTCTTCAGTTCATTTGACAGATGAGGAAACTGAGGCAAACAGGGTGAAGTGACTCGCCCAGGGTCACACAGCTAGTTAGTGTCTGAGGCCAGATTTGAACTCAGGAACATGAGTCTTCCTGACTCCAGGCCGGGCACTCTGTGCACTGTGGCACCCCCTAGCTGCCCAGACGTATTCCTATGGGAACAGGTACAACTGTCTCTGCCCACCCATGCCATAAAGTCTTTCCCAGTTCTAACATGTCAGGATTCTGCATTCTTCCTCAGGTCCTCTGTACAAGTCACTGTTCAATCCTGGCCCCAGCATTAAGGCCTCAGAGACCCTCTTTGGTACCAGGTAAGAGCCCACTGCCTGGCATTCCTGCCGTCCGCTGAGCTGGGGAGGGGCAGAGTTCAGAGCAGTCCGCCTAGTTGAGATAGACGGCCGCCTACTACGCCTGTGAATGAAGGGTCCTGAGGCATCCCTATGCACTTGCCACCACGCCTGGAATTCTACCTTTAGGAATTATTTCTTTGGATTGAGAGTCACCCTCTCTGGACTTCTCTTTTACAATACAAGCCTCCAAATGTACCTTCTTACTTCCCTTGAAGAGGGGGGGACTCTGTGTCCAATACACTATCAGATCTAATAGATGCAACAGTGGAGGTGGGGGGAGTATCCATTTTTCTGTGTAACAGGGAAGAATCACTGGGGAGGGGGAGAGGGAGGAAGGGAAGAAGAGAGGGGTCTTATATCTGAGAATAACTGAGATTAAAACCCAGAGTCATCAATAAAGCATTCTTTTTAAAAAAGGAAGAAAAAGAAGCAATAAATTCTTGGTTGAAAGAATGAATATAATGCAATCCTCTACCCTCTTGGAGACTGAGCTCACTGGGTCCCTACTAGCTGCATATGGATGAGTTTTTCAGACCCTTTCTTTCTGACAGGAGGAGCTAAGCAAGTGGAACATGGGGATTCTGGGGATGGAGATGGGGTTGCAGAGGGGAAGGGGGGACAAACTTGGTCCCTTTCTATCTCCTGTCATTGGCCAGGCCCACGGCCTAATCCTGCTAGGAGCAGTTTGCTGCAGGATGGACAGGGGGTTCAGGCGGGGCTCTCTCTAAGACAAGGATCACCCAGGACAGGAGGTTGGGTCTGGGGTTTCACCATCAGCATGTGAAAAGGAAAAGAAGGTCTTTGATGCTTATTCAAAAGGCTTTAGTTTTCAGATATTCACTCTGTCCTCTCAGACCCATCCCTTCCCTCCTCTAGGATTCATTTTCTTTAAAAAGTGAAGATTAAGCCATCACCAATATTCTGTATCTGAAGAACCTCTCAGTTCTGACATCCTGTGTTCCAAGGCCCTTCCCAGCTCTGACATCCTTTGTTCTAAGCCCCCCCCCTTCTGATATCCTGTGTCCTAAGGCACCTCAAGGCTTTGATGTAATGTATTCTAAGGGCCTTCCCAGTTTTGATATAATGTGTTCTAAGGGCCTTCCCAGCCTTGACATTCTGTGTTCTAAGGCCCTTTCTAGCTTTGATATAATGTGTTCTGAAGTCCCTCCCAGCTCTAACATTCTGTCTTCTAAGGGCTCTCCCAGCTTTGATATAATGTGTTCTAAGGGCTCTCCCAGTGCTAACACTCTCTGTTCTAAGCTTCTTTCTAACACTGATGTTCTCTGTTCTAAGGGTCCTCCTAGCTCTGACATTCTCTGTTCTGGGGCCTTCTTATCTCTGTAAGTCTCTGTTCTAAAGTTTCTCCCAGCTCTGCCATTGTCTGTTCTAAGGACTCTCCTAGTTCTGACATTCTGTGTTCTAAGGGCCCTCCCAACTCTTATATTCTGTGTTCTAAGAACCTCCCCAGCTCTGACTTTCTCTGTTCTAAGGCTCTTCCCAGTTCTGACATTCTAAGCCCTAAGGTCCCTCCCAGCTCTGACATTCCCTGTTCTAAAGTCCCTCCCAGGTCTGACCTTCTATGTTCTAAGGCCCTTCCCAACTCTAACATTCTGTGTACTAAGAACCTTCCCAGTTCTGACATTACATGTACTGAGGCCCTTTTTAGCTCTGACCTTCTGCGTTCCAAGGTTATCTCCCAGTTCTGACATTCTGTGTTCCAAGGTCCCTTCCTAGCTCTAACGTTTCATATTCTAAGGTCTTTCCAACTCTAACATTCTGAGCCCTCTATTGATACCTTGTCCCTAACTCAGAAATAACAGGGAGGGGGAGGGAGGGGTGTTGAGGATTGCCTTGGATCAGAGGCCAGAGGTTGGAAAGGAGCAGTGGCTGGGGAGCGGAGAGGGATGGAGATAGCAGGGCAACATGGTGGGTTGGGAACGATAGGGCCTGGCCTCCTCGTAAGTGGCTTCTGGGAGAGTCAGGGAGGCCCAGGGGAGGTTCTTGGAACATGGGGATGGGGGTAAAGGCCTGCAGGAGGGAGAGCTAGCCATACCAACCTTGCCCCTTGCCCTGGTGTGTTTGCACAGGCTAAACCTGAATAAGAACAGATTCTTGATGCGAGCAGCCAAGGGGTTAGCGTCCAAGCCCCCGGCACCAACCTCCCAGCTGCAGGAGTTTCCCCTTGATACTGAGAACATGGATTATTTACCTGTGGTGAGTTCCCTGACACATGTGCATGTTACTACCTGTCCCCAGACGCCGGGGTGTATCTGAAGGGTGGCGGGGGAGAGGCATCACTGGACAAGGGCATTGCCCAGGCTTGACTGAAAATCATCAATGATTCCTTCCCCCACCCCTCCAAAAAATGAAACTCTTGCAGCAGCGTGGGATGGAAAGATCTGCACTTCAGAACCTTGAGAAACCTGAGTTCAAATTCCAGCTCTGATACTTCCAACCTAAGTGACCTTGAACAGGTTACTTCCCCTCTAGGGTGCCTCAGTTTCTTCATCTGTAAAATGGGTTGGATTAGAAGATCTGTAAAGCCTCTTCCAGCCCTAAGGTCTCTTCCATATCCCAATCAACACTAAACAATTCAGAAATCATAGAATAGTAAATAATTAGTATAGAATAGGTAGAGTGTAGCCAGTCTAGAATTAAGTGCTAAAAACTCTATTTGGAGTGAAAAGGGTGCTAGATTTGGTAGGAGAGTACCCCAGCTCCATCACCCACTCCCTGGGTGCTTAGGGCAAATCACTCTCCTTTCTCTTATCTGTAAAATGAGGGGGTTGAGATGATCTTAGGTCCTTTCCAGATCTAACTCCATCTCCCCATGATCCCTTTCAGCACTGGATCTATGACCTTAACTTCCTTTTGCTACCCAAACCATGGACCTGAGCTGCCCACAAGGAACACAGTTGACTGGTTTGAGCGCCCACTTCTCTGTTTGCTTCTGTTTATCCTCTGATATATCATCCTGTGAAAGGACTTTAGAAAGTATAAAGCCCCAATATCTGATATTGTCATCAACAAAACACTGACATGCCCCAAAGGAGAAGGAGAAAGGACACATCATTTCTTCAGTTTATAACTACATCTCCTGTCTCTCCATTCAGGGAGACTTCTCTTCCCTCCCCTCCTCTCTTCTGCCCTCCTCCTTGCACAACTTCCTCTCTCATCCACTTATCTCTCCCATTTCCTTCCTTCCTCATCACTTCACTTCTATCCCAGCTCTTCCTTTCTTCCCCTTCTCTTCCATCTTCTCCCTTTCTCTCCTCTTCACCTTTTTCATCCCTCCAAAGCCAACCCTGTCCCCACTTCTCCCAGTTAGCAGGGCTGCCTCTTCCTTCCCACATCAGCCAGACCTCCACCAGCACAGCAGCCAGTTTGAAAAAAGATTGGTCTCCCAAGATTGACAAATGCCTCTGTAGTTCAGTGGTTCTCCGAATATTATCTAGGAGCCTCTAGACATCTAAAGGCTGGCTCCAAAGGCAGTAGGGAAGGGAAGGAGTGGAAAGGAAGAGACAGTAAGTGCTGATTTCTGGGCAAATCAACTGCCAGAGAGAAGGAACATTGAAAAGTTGCTGAGTGTGCAAAAAGGATGACCAGGCACTAAGTGAACAGAATTATCTTCCCTTGTCCCACTTACTCAGTGTGGTTCAACGGAAAGAGTATTAAAGTAGACTTTAGGAGACCTGGGTTCTAATCTTTGCCAACCACTTTTTGTGTGACCTTGGACAAGTCATTTATGTCTCTGAACCTCATTTTACTCATTTCTAAAATGAACAGATTGAACTCTTTGATTTCCAAGTTCCCTTTCAACTCTTCTAGTTTGCACATTCTATGTTCTATGGTCCCTCCTTAGTGCCAACTTTCTACATTCTAATATTACATATTCTAAGATCCCTCACACCTCTGATTTTATGCTTCCTAACATTGCAAGTTCTAAGGTCCACTAAGAAGTCCACAGATGTCTTTCAGATAAACCACCTCCTTCATCCTGTTACTTATGAAGTTCTGAGCCCACGTTATTCCAATTAACTTTTTAAAAGTTTATCTCAATTACATTTCATCATCTTAGATTCAATCCAAAATTCTGGCCTGTTGAGATCATTCTAGATCTTGACTCAGGTTTCCAACACCTTTATCAGTTATGTGTTACCTTTGAATTTAATAAGCATGGCATTTATGCCTTTATCCTAGTCATTGATTAAAAAAATATATTCAGCAGCACAGGGCCCAGAACACTCCACTGGAGACCTTCTTCCCTGTTGGTATTGAACCATTAATGATGACTCTTTGGGTCTGATCATTCAACCAGTGCTGAAACTGTACTATCCTCGAGCCCATGTCTCTCTATCTTTTCTACAAGAAAAGTATGAAAAATTTTGTCCAATGTTTTGTTAAAATCTAGACAATCTCAACTCTTCCCCTGATCTACCAGTCTACTAACTAAGTCAACAAAGGAAATTAAGCTGGTCTGGCCTGGCTTATTCTCAATGAAGCCATGCCAGCTCTGTGATCACTGTGGGCATTTCCAGATGTGCTCTAACCATCCTTTTAATAAAACATTTAAAAATCTTGCCAAAAAGTGAACCAAAAATCCCTGGTCTGTCATTGGCAAATTCTATTCTCTTCCTTTTAAAAAAAAATCAGGATATTTGCCACCCTCCAACCGTTTGGTGATCATTCCACTCTCCATGATATTTCAGAGATCACCAACCATGAATCTTATTTGCTGGGTCTTTCAGTATCCAAAGATGCAATCTGAGCTAGTGACTTGAATTCATCAAGGGAAAATAGGTGATCTTTTACTATCTATCCCTCTATCTTCCTTGGCTATCAACTACCTGTTAGAGATTTTTGTTCTGCCCTTTACAATCCGCAGATCCTTGGCCAAGAAATAAGAGTTGAATAGTCTTGTTGTCCCAAGCATCCAATATCATCATCTCATCCAACCAAAGCAGCAGTCTTCCCCTTTCTTCGATTTATTTTACCCAACATAGCTTTAAAAAAAGAACCCTCCTTCCTTTTATTGTTCTTAGCTTTCCTCACCAACCTCAGTTCATTCTGAGCCTTAGCATCCCTAATACTATACTTATAGGACTAGGCCATGCTTTCATATCCATACTCTCTTACCTACGTTCACTTCCATAGATGTCTTTTAAAAATATAAATTGTCTGATGCACATACATTGATCTTTTTACACAATTCCTTCTTTTCTCTTCTTCAAATGATAAAGCCTATGCCTCAAGTGTCTTTATAGGAATTCACCAGGAATACCTAGGAAGGTAACACTGAAATCTGGAGAAATAAAACCCATGACCAAGATATGTCTCTGGAAGAGGCTGGACCTTAACTGAAAGAAACAGAATAGGCAAAAGTCGGGGTGAGGATAGGTAAGAGAGAAGAAGTAGCATTGAATACTATTTTGAAGATAAGCTCATATAAAGAAATCTTGAAAGCAGAGAAACAGAATGGTGGAGAGAGCTTGGATTAATAAGATCAGAGACAGAAACAAAATCAATGTTGTCATTGAAGCATACTACAGACCACTTAGCCAGAAAGAGGAAATGGATGAGGAGTTTAGGGCAAAGATCAGAAGCCTGGAACAGCAGCTTGATTTAGGGGAGAACAAGGGATATTATTGTGCAGACATCTGCTAGAGCTCTTTCCTTGTCCAAAGCAGAGAGCTAATAATATCTTGACTTGCCTAGACTATCATTTCATCCTTCAAAAAGTGATTGTTGTGTCCAAAGTTGGGGTTTTCTTGGCAAAGATATTGGAGTGGTTTGCCATTTCTTTCTCCAGCTCATTTTACAGATGAGGAAACTGAGACCAACAGGGTTAAGTGACTTGCCCAGGGTCATATAGCTAGTAAGTGTGTGAGGCCAGATTTGAACTCAAGAAGATGGGTTTTTCTCACTCCAGGCCTGGTGCTCTATCCACTGCCCCATCTAGCTGTCCCTTCAAAAAGTAAAGAAGCCAACAAGTAGAAATTCTATTCTTGATCAGATCTCACTAACAAAGAAGAATTGGTTGCTGAGGACAGAAATGATGGGAATTTTCAGGAAAATCAATTATTCCATACTAGAATTTATGATAGAGGAGAAGAAAGCCAGGAAGAGTTTAACATGTACCCCAGATTTAGGCTGACCAAATTCCAAAGGTTTCAGAGAAAAGATAGGTAGGGCCTTAAGACCTAAAATTCAACCAGAGAAGTCATCCCAGACAGGATGGGAAGTTCTGAAGAACTAAAATCTGAAGACACAAAGGGAAAGCATTCTAAGGAGGAAGAGAAGGCCTGGAGAACAGCTAGACCTGGGAGAATGGAGTGTCACGCCACTGGCCTTCTGAGAATGGGTGGTGAGGAGACTTGGAAAGGTTGGGAGAGGTCAGATTATGAAAGACTTTGAAAGCCAACAGAGGATCTTAGATTTGATCCCAGAAATAATGGGGAACCACTGGATTTATTGAATTGGGCAGTACCATGATCATACCCGGGCTTAAAGAATATCGGTTTGACTACTGAGTGGAGGATGGACTAGCTATTTTAATAGTCCATCTGACAAGGGACTGAACCAGAATAATGACAGGGATGGAAGAGTGATGGAAGAGGGAAGGGAACATATTCTAGAGACGTCACACAGGTAAAATTCATAGGCTCTGGCAAGAGACTGGATATGGGAGAGGGGATATGTGAGAGAGAGAGTGAGAATTTTAGGGTAACACCTAGATTTTGAGCCTTGGTGATTGGCAGGATAATGGTACTCTTAACAGCAATAGAGAAGTTAGACAAGGGAAGGGTTTGAAGGAGAAGACAATGAGTTCTGGACATATTGAGTTTTAGATTTCTATAAGACATTCAGTTGGGAATTTCCAATAGATAGTTGGAGTCTGTAAGACATTCAGTTGGGGATTTCCAATAGATAGTTGGAGTCTGTAAGACACTGAGCTGGAGATTTGCAATAGATAGTCGGAGATGTGAGACTTGAGCTCAGAAAAGAGTTTAGGGCTGGACAAATAAAACTGAGAATCAACATAGACATGCTAGTCAGATCCATAGGAGTTGATGAAATCACCAAGTGAAAGAGTATAGAGAAAGAAGAGAAGAGGGCCCACAGCAGAGCCACAGTTAGTGGACATGATCTGGGTAAAGACAAAGTAAAGAATAATGAAACTGAATGGTCATGCAGGTAGACAGAAAACCAGGAGAGAGGAATATCATGGAAACCTAGAGAAAAGAGAGAGAGAGGAGAAGAGACTGATCAATAGTATTGACAGCTACAGAGAGAACAGGAAGAAAAAGGAATGAGGAAAGGTCATTAGATTTGGTCATTAAAAATCATTGGTGACTTTGAAGGCAAATGCTTCAGTTGGATGATGAGGTCAGAAGACAGACTACAGAGAGTTAAGAGAGTGAGAGGAAAGGGGGAGGGTCACCTGTTGTAGGCAGCCTTCTCTACGAGGCAGGAAAGGGAGGAGAGAAAATAAATTTTGGCTATCCAGAATAGACAGATCAAGTGAGGGTGTTTTGAGGATGGGTGAGATATGGGCATGTTTTTAACAGTAAAGAAGCAGTCAGTATACAGGGAGAAATTACAGATTGATGAGAGAATAGGGATGATAGAGGGAGCATTCTTCTAGAGAGGACAGGATGGAGTAGGACCTCTTGTGTATATAGAAGGGTTTGCCTTGGCCAGGAAAAATGCCACTTCTTCATGTAAAATGGGTGAAGAAGAAATAGTAGCAGAAGGGCATCTGAGTGATGAGAGATGAGGAGGAGGAGAGAAGAAAGGGGACTCTTTGTTAATGGCCTCAAATATTTTTAGTGACAAATTAGCCAAAATCCTCAGCTAAGAGAGTTGGGGGAGGGAGAGCTATGGGAGGCTTAAGGAGGAATAAAAAGGTTTGGAAGAACCACAGTGGCTAACAGGATAGTAAGTTAATTAGGGAGGCCTTGCTGCAGTGAAGGCCCAATTGCAATTATGCAACATAAATTTGTAGTGGACTCAACGATTGTGTGATTTCCTCCATCTTTGTTTAGTGGCATACAAGCGGGAGCATGGGGGGATGGTGGAAGTAATCCAAGGCTAGGGTTGGGCAGGACAAGACCTTTGATAGGACACAGAGTCAAGGGGTCAAACCCAGGTGCTGAACACTTCAGGACGTACGTTAGCTGTGCAAACCTAGGCCTGTCTCATTTTCCTAATGTGTAACATGAAGGATTGGATTTGATGGCCCTGAAGGTCCCATCCATCCCTCAATCTAGAACCCTATGAATAAACACTCTTTTACCTCTGCCTTTTAGAATCTTTAGCTTCCTTCACGTCAGATGCCTCCTCCTACAGGAAGCCTGTCCTGATTCCCTCCAGTTGTTAGTACCACTCCCCTGCCCCTTTTTCTCATATTTACTTGTCCACAAAGATGTTGTTTTCCCCAATAGAATATAAGCTCCTTGAGGGCAAAGATAGGGGCTTTTTGTTTGTTTTCTGTCTTTGTGTTCCTAGAATCTAGCACTGTGCTGAGCACTTGATAACTGCTGAATCTAATTTAATTGAGATTTGGAAAGACTTGTCCAGGGTCACACAGATGGTAAATGTCTAAGCCAGGTCTCCCTGACTCCAAGTCCAGCTTACTTTTCACAGTGGGATGCTGCTTTCATAAACTTTATAAACGTATGACTTCTAAGCCCTTCTCTTTCTCTTTGGCCTCCCAGGTCTCTCTACAGATGGCCTCAGGTGCCTTCCTGCTCAGCCAGGCCTTCTGCAGGGCCACAGGCATCCCCATGGAAAAGCTCAAGTGGACCTCACCATTCACCTGCCACCGTGTGACACTAACCCCCTGCTCCCACAGTTCCTCCCAAAACCAAGACACCCTGCCCCTGGAGCCCAACAGTCCAGGCCTCCAGAGGCCCAGTGGCGCCTTCCAGATTTCGGCCCAGAACCAGCGCATCTCAAACAGCTCAAAGACCTTCTGCCGAATACCCCGTGCTGAGTCCATCCTGCCCACAGCCAAAAACTCCCCGAGCCACTCTCCTGAGCTGTCCCACGGGGCTGATAGCAAGCTGGCCCTGGAGATCGATGGACCCGAACAAGCTGGCAAGGTGTGGGCCACAGCGGTGGCCTTGGGGTGGCTGGAAAACAGCTCAGCCTCCTACTTTGTGGAGTGGGAATTGGTGGCAGCTAAAGCCAGCTCCTGGCTGGAAGACCAGGAAGTCCCTGAGGGCCGCACCCTAGCCTCTGTGAAGACTGCCGCCCAGCAGCTCTTTGTCCTGCTTCGGCACTGGGACGAAAACCTTGAGTTCAACCTGCTTTGCTACAACCCCAATAGCGTGTAGGATTTTTGGAGGGGTGGGAAATTTGGGATGGGGGAGGGTAAAGGAGCAATGGGGGCTTGGGAAAAACCCTTGAGGCTGTAGCCAATATATTTGAAAAAAAAAATCATTAAGAGGACTGAACTGGAAGTCAGAAGGCCTGGGTTCTAGTCCTGGCTCAGCCACTAACTTACCTTAGACAAGTCCCTTTCCCTCTCTGGGTCTCAGTTTCCTCCTCTGTAAAATGGGGGAGATTGGATTCTCTGAGGTCTGATCTCTTACAGGTCTAAGGTCTTGATGATCTCCTAAGATCCGGTATCTTCAGGGTCAGATATTCTAGTAGGTACTTTATCCCACCTGCCAACAACCAGTGCAGTAGTCCTGAAAGAGAGGACCAGCGGCTCCCTCGCCCCATCCCAGAGGATAAAAGGATCCCCATTTCCCGACTCTGCTGCTTAACCTCCAGCCTCCAGCCCCAAGGCCACGGGGACCTACCGCAGCATCTCTGGAGGGCAGCAACTTGGCTGTGCTCTGGGACCATCCCAGACATACACGAGCAATGGAGGGAGGCAGGGGCCGCCAGACCCCAAGGGAATTATGGGACAGCTCAGCTTCATCTGGACGCTTGACATTTTGGAACAGAAGGAGGGAGATACAGGTAGGGAAGACAGCTTTGCCTCTAATGATTCTAAGAGGATATGTCGGAGGTTTCTCTTCCCCAGCCCTGAGGTGCTAATCCTCTGCTCCCTGATTTCCATCAACACCTGGAACCTTAGTGACCACTTGGCCCCCAGCCATTGGCCGCCACAGACCTTAGTCCAAGAGTTGTTTCTCTGACCAGATGCACCTCCCACCCCCAGAGCTGAGCTTCCTTGAGCTTCGCTGAGCTTGGTCAGCCCCCTCACCTGGTACAAGACATTTGCCTTCTCTGGGTTTCAGCTTCCTCATCTAAAATGAGAGTCAGACTAGGTGACCTCTAAGGTCTTTCCATTCTATGTTCCCCCATCCTCTCCTCTGGCAAGTTTCTTTGCCAGAGAAATGAGTTGAGGAGCTCTGCCTTATCTCTAATATTCTTTGTTCTAAGGTCTTTCAACTCTAACATTCAATGTTCTAAGATCCCTTATAGCTCCGGCATTTCATGTTCTAGGGCCCTCCCAGCTCTGCATTCTGTTATGAGCCCTCCCAGCTCTGATATTCTGGGTTCTAAGGTTCCTCCCAGCTCTGACAGTCCATGTTCTAAGGGCCCTCCCAGCTTTGACATCCTGTGTTCTAAGGCTCCTCCCAGCTCTGGTGTTCCCTGTCTTTAGGTCTCTTCCATTTCTAAATTCCAAGTTCTGACTCACAAATAAGCAGTGCCCTTGGAGGGCTGGCCTCCTGGGGCGGTCATCATACAGACCACAGCTATTCCAGCTCCTGCCCTGGGTCGTGAACTCTTCTCAGAGGAAAAGCAAGCCCTCCCCAGAAGGCAGCACTCACAGGGAAGAGCTCTCTTTCTCCATTGAAAGGCTTGCTTGTGGATCAAGAAACCAGTTGTTCTGGGGTCCAGACTTCATGGAGTCTGACCAGCGACTGTCCACTGTGGATTCTGAGGGCAGCAGCATCCAGGAATAAGACAAATATTCCAACAGGTTAAAGGAAGCTAACATTTTCTTCTCTGCTACTTAACTACCTGTGAGGAGACCTTGGCAGGTCACTTTCTATCCCTAAACCCTAGCGTAGTGTTCTTTAAAATGGGATCATTGGATGAGGTACCTTTTAGCTCAAAGTTCCATGAAGTTGCCGCACAAGGACCAGTTAAAGGAACTTTGAGATGTTTTTCATGGAGAAAAGAAGACTTCTCTGGGACATGATGTCAGCCTTCATATTTGACGGGTTGTCAAGTAAAAAAAAAAGCATTAGTCTTATTCTGCTGCTCCAAGTGGACTGGGCTGTTCTCTATCCCTGAAGGTCTTTGAGCAGGGGACAGATAGTTGTCACAGTTGCTGCGAAGGGATTCTGACTTAGGATGGGTTGGACTAGATGTCCTCAGAGGTCCCTTCTACCTTTGAGATTTGTGATTCTATGATTCCTTTACACCCTCCAGAGATATATCAAGGGATGCCACTTTTATGAACACTGAAGGCATTCACCTGGGTGGAAAGGGGAAAAAAGGAGAAAAAGAGGTAGGAAAAGAGAGGAGAGGGAGGAGGAGAAGAGAGAAAGAGACAGAGAAGGGGGGACAGAGAAAGGAGAGAGAGAAGGGAGTGAAAGAAGAAAAAGAGAGAGAAGAGAGAAGGGAGAGAGAGAAGAGAGAGAGGAGAGAGGAGGTAGAAAGCGAGAGAATGGGAGAGACAGAGAGACAGAGGAGGGGGGACAAAAAAGG